GCGGCGGACCTGGAGCTGCTGCAGCTGCTGCTGCTGTGTCTCTGCCGCTGCATGCTCTGCTGCTGCTGCTGCGCTCGCTGTCTTCATTTTCCCCTTGTAGAGACACTCCAGGCCCTCGCCGACTGTACAGACACCAGAAGACACGAGCTGTTTGCTGCTGCTCCGTGGAGGTTTTCAGGTGACTCACAGCAAGAGCAGCAGCAGCAGCAGCAGCAGCAGCAGAGGCCGCAGCACGAACAGGAGATTTAGAGCTGTCTGACCAGGCGATGAGGCAGAGCTGCGCTAAATCGAAAGCAGCAGCAGCAGCAGTTGCTGCAGCTGCTGCAGCTGCTGCAGCTGCTGCTGCTGCTTTTGCATTTCTGTGTTTCATCTCGTTGCTGCCACTTCCCCTTGGTGCTTATCTTGTGCCGCTGCTGTGCTGCTGCTGTGCTGCTGCTGCTGCTGTGCTGCAGCAAATCAGCTGAAGGTGTTGTCTTCTACAGCACTTTGCTGCCTAGGAGAAGTGGCAGTGCTGTGTCCTGCTGCTGTTGTTGCTGCTGGGGGCGCTGCTGCGTTGCTGCGGGTTGCTGCAGCAGCTGCTGCTGCAGGAGACACAGACGCTTGTGCTGGGGCCCTGCAGCAGGGGCTAGCTCTGCTCTACCCCACAACAGCAGCAGCAGCAGCAGCAGCAGCAGACAGAAACAGCAACTGGGCACAAGCTCGTGAGGCGTTCATCGAGGCAGGGGCTCTGCAGCAGCTGCTGACTCTGCTGCGGAAACTTATGGAGCAGCAGCAGCAAAAGCAGCAGGAGCAACAACAGAAGCAGCAGCAGCAGCAGCAGCAAAAGCAGCAGCAGCTGCAGCAGCAGAAGCAGAAAAGAACAGCTGGACGCTATGATGAACCTCTTGCGGCTGCAAGACGCGGCAGCAACAGCAGCAGCAGCAGCAGCAACAACAGCAGCAGCCCTTGTGCTGAGTCGCATTCGTCTTCAGGTGTCAGTACACCTGAAATGATTTGCTGCTGCAACGCCTGGCTGCTTCTGTCTCGTTTGTGTGAAGGAGACACAAAAGCTGCTGCTGCTGTTGCTGCTGCTGACGGTTTGCTGCTGCTGGCGAGCTGGCTGCAGCAGCAGCTGCCCCCGGGGGCTTCCTGCACAGCCGCAGCAGCAGCAACAGCAGCAGCAGCTGCTGCTGCTAATGCTGCTGCCTCGCTCTTCAGCTGCGCTGCAGCAGCAGCAGTACGAGCTCTTGCTGCTTCCAGCGAGGAGGCAGCAGCAGCTTTTGCTGCTGCTGGCGGAATGGCTGCACTTGCTGCAGCAATAGCACACACTCCCCGCAGGCATCTGCAGCCGGTAAGCCCCCAAAGACAGCTAGCTAGCTAGCTAGCTGCGTGGCTAGCTAGCTAGCTGCGTGGCTAGCTAGTCAACTAGCTGAATGGCTAGCTAGGTAGCTAGCTAGCTAGCTAGCTAGCTGCATTTAGACACGTGGCTCACTGTCCCACTCGCTAGCTAGCTTTTGACGGAGCTAGCTAGCTAGCTAGCTAGCTAGCCAGCTAGCTAGCTGGCTGGCTGGCCTACTAGTTAGCTAGCTAGCTAGCTAGCCGTGTACCTGGCTAACTAGCCGGGCAGCTAGGGAGCTAGCCAGACCCCTTCTTGAGGGGCTAGCCACAGCTAGCCACAGCTAGCCACAGCTAGCCACAGCTAGATACAGTTAGCCACAGCTAGCCACAGCTAGCCACAGCTAGCCACAGATAGCTGAGAGTCTTGAAACCAGAAGCCAAATAAACTCACAAAGAAAGCGAAAAAAGGAGACAGCTGCTAATGGAAATCTTACTATAGGTCTTCTGTCCAACGAGGCTGCTGCACTGTTGCTGCTGCTGCTTCTGCTGCTGCTGCTGCTGTTGCTGCTGCTGCACACAGTTGCTGGCCGCACTTGCGGACGCACTGGACTCTCCTGCTGCTGCTGCTGCTTGTCGGTCTTGGGGAGGCTGGCTCAGCTGCGGGGCGCAGAAAAAGCA